AAACGTTACTTATTAATAACAAACGTGTACAAATCAATAGCGTTTTATCCCCATATTGATCGCGATCTTAGAAATCGATAACGCGAAAGTAATACGACGCACGGAGCGACTCTCGACGCTGCCTGCCGGCACGACGTTCGGCGAGCGAATGATAACGCGGCGACCTTCAGGTACACGCTGGCACGCAAATATCGTACGTCACCGTGCCGAGTGGAAAAACAACAAAAAAACGTTGAGAATTCGTTGTCCCGCCTACGAAATTGAAAATTCTATACTTAATATTTTACATTATACTTTGTTCCGTGACTGTTACCACGTTTTGCGTATCAATCCGCGGACTTATTGGCATTGATTAAATTAACATTAATTCTGTTCAATCGAGAAAATGTTTCGAAACAAAAATCGTCGTTACTTAAATTCTAATTACTAAGATTAGAGATTTTACCTCAATAGTTGATGCATACAAATGTATATTACTAAATTACAAATCTTCATTTATTATGAGCAAACATTATAGCATTATTTACTTTAATAATAATATAAATTGGTATTAAATACTTTATTGGAAATAGCGTTGCGCGCGCTATTTGGTCTTAATTTATATTTATTCATGATCTCCTTCACATATTAAGATTTTTTTCATGCGAAGAAGACGTAATCTGACGTTGACACTCTGTCAAAATGCATATTACATGATCTCCGCACTGACAGCTACTCGCAGTAGAAAGCCAAGCGAGGAAATCAGCATCGCTGAGCAACGTCAATAATTAAATCTCTTATATACCTTTTTAAAAAGAAGATTAGTTATCGCTGTATCTCATTAGAAGAATAAGAATCTCTTTCATTCTCTTTCACTCCATTGGATATTTAACTTTAACTTCTTTTTCGTTAACTTTCTGTTTAGTTTCTAACTTTCTTTACGTACCTATATTTTTGCACAACTGTCAAAGTTCACATGCGAGCTGAAGCATAGCACGATACCGGCGCGCCGGTAACATTCTCTTTTTTAGAAAAGGATTAACACAAAAAGATTCTGTATTTTACATCCTGTGTATATATTCTGTATTATTGTGTCTATTTATAAATTGTTATTTTCTCTTAATTTTCACGTTTGATATTTTACATTATATAATTTGATACATTTATATATTTCTTGTATAATCCCATTTAATTGTATAAATAAGCGATAATTATGTGTATCACATACCTATCCGTGTAAAATAAACAAAAGAATTTCGGTACACGGAGAGAATTTTCTCTTAAAATTGACCCTGAAAATTATGTAATCGCGGGACAACGTGGCATTTTAAAGAACTATCTGAGAGTTTTCTAAAATTTTACCATACATTTTACTTGTAAAATATATATCAAGTATAATCACTAATAAAAAGTAAGGTAAAATTTGAAAAAAACTCACAAAATTCTTCGAAATATGATTTTCAGGATCAATTTTAAAAGAAAATTCTCCCCGTGTAGAGTATTATAATTACACACCGTACGTTTATTAAACAACATTCAAAGCATGTACTTAATTTGCAGCAAGTCACAATAATAATAACAATATTCAAAATTACAGCGAGAGCGAAATTTGACCATACATTTTACTAGTAAAACTCTCATAAAATTCTTCGAACTGCCGTGTTGTCCCACGATTACCATACGTGATTTTCAGGACAAATTTTAAGAGAGAATTCTCTCCGTGTAAGAAATATTAGAAACACTATTTTGGACACAGCTTCTTCAACCTACCGTCTTTTGTGTAACATCTTCAGGAGTAAATACGATTTTTCAACGGCCTCTTTATTTTCTCACCTTCCTTAATCGCAAGGCCCGAAATCAGTCGTCTTGTCTATTCTTCAAAATGCCATGTTGTCCCACGATTACGTGGTCTTCAGAATCAATTTTAATAGAAAATTCCAGATATATTAGAAACACTTTTCTTGGGGACACAGCTTCTTCGACCTTCCGTTCCTTGAGTAACATCCTCAGCAGTAAATACGATTTTTCAACGGCCTCTTCATGTTTTTCCCCTTCCTTAACCGCAAGGACCGAAATTAGGCATTTTGTCTATTCAGGAACCCGTCGCCGACGCTCGTCGTCGCCGATAAAGTGTATCTACTCGCTTGGCCTTCCTCCCCCCCCACCAGAGCGATTCATTTCTCTTTCGTATTAGACTCGCGTTACGGTCACTGACGTGAATTTAGACGAAGGTCAAGACGTCTGGTCGCGTCTCGTCGTAATGATCGCTTCACATAATGCCCGAACCGGCGTGTGAATAATCGTCTGCGGACACCGAGCGCCCGTATTGACGGAGCGCGTACCAGGCTCGTGGTTTGCAGCACGACATATTATGTACAATAATACGTGTGTCGCCAGCTTAACAGAATGGGGAAAAAGTAACAATAGCTCTATCGCCCGATACAAAAGCTCGCAACGGTTTTATTCGGTAAAAATTTGGCGAGCGATCGCGTACCGTTGCGGCATTTGTATCGCCAGCGCTTAACCAACGCGCGCTATTCATTTTTTTTTGTTTTTGTTTAATTGACACCGCGCGATCCGTCAGACCGCCGTGTGATTTTACGTGTATCGCGGGTGGGATAATTTATCGCGTTGAGCAATCGAAACGCCCTTTAGCGTGGAAACTCTTGTTTCCGGTTCCTTTTCGGAGCGATCGAATTCCAGAAATTAAGCGTTTGTGGAGCGCACCAGAGGATGCCGTGCATCGGTATTAAAGCACATCCTGTCGCATTAAGTTCGCTGCCGTCCGTTTCGCGATAAAAAAAAACCAGGTGCGGATACAAGTGCGTCGGATGACAAACGGCCGCACGTGACATCGGGAATCGGCATTAAATCTCTCTTGTGGGGCATTAATATAACTTTTCGAAGGAGGAGGTGGAGTCGGTGGCGGTCGTAATGCCAGACAGCGCGACGTTACAATGAACCCTTTCCGTCCGCTCGGTGCCCTCCTCGGGACGCGTTTCACATCGCGAGGAACAGATACAAGGGCAGATGTCAGCCCTGCGACTTAATTAACTGAATAATCACGTGACGTAGATCATCTGTGCGGAAAATTTGGGACGAGCGAAGTAAGGAGGTGGCCGGTGTACGCGGAAATAAGTGCGCACGCTGCCGCGTGGACAGGAAAGCGGACGGTGGGTTTCGTGAAATGTTACGCGAGGCACCGGAGGGACCTGATAATTTCCCCCGTAAAATTCAAGTCCGCTTGCGCAACGTAGAAATTTTAACGCGCGATTAAAATTTACCAGCGTTACTTAACGCCGAAATAATATCTAATTAATTAGATGTGCGTACAATTAACGGCAGCTTATCGCTCTCAATCAGTGTCCAACTGTACTTTACTTTGTAACGGGATTTTGCTTTCTAACATAGCTGGGCCGAGCGGTCGTTAGCGCGCGTTTCTAAATTCTAGCGTGTCCGAAAGGGTAGAGGAAAGTCCTCCATTATGAGATAGGTTTCCAATATGAGACAGCGGGTTCTCAACGCCCGAATTCAATCGCAATTCTTCTTTCGCGACGACCACGCGATCTAACAATGAATTTTCCACTAAACACATTTCGCTCGACACACCGAAAAAATTATATTCTCATCTTAAGAATAGTTCACTTGCTTTTATAATATTTTACCCTGAAACAAGCGCTAAAAGGATAGTCTTAATTTAAGAGAGGAATCTTCAAAACAGGATATTCTCATCGGACATTCTTATTAGATATTCTTAATATGTAAGAATATAAAAATGATACGGTTTGCTGTCATATATTATTTAAAATTTAGGATCTTTAATCGTAACAGAACTGGTTCCACAAATAAACATTGACTATTTATTACAGTACGGATAAATGCAGCATAGCTGAATAGATTTTTTCGACAGGTTATAGCTTTAGCTACTTGTTTAATTGCTGGTTGATGCTTGCCCTCCTTATTTTCTGTGATGAGAAACTGATTAGAGATTCTGCCGGGAAGGTTAACACGATTCACGAGCTGTTCTATTTGATGTTTCAAAGACTTGCTCATAAATATGTCCTTCAAATCTTCTTTTTCTAACCACCCAACCACTTCCTCATCCATTATTTGAGTCAGGATGCCACACGGCAATTACAATCTCCAAAACGTGATAAAGCAGGGCATTACATTGACACGTATACCGAGACGCGCTACACGGCGGACATCGCGCATACGGAAAGTTTCAGCGCCAAAGTTGTTGCGAGATAAGAATATATTTTTAATATTAAGAATATATTCTTAACTCAAGAAGATATGCCAAAAAACATGATGGTAAGAAGGAAATATTCTTCCCCATTAGGATTTGCAAAGTATACATTTCAAGAATACAATTTTTTCGGTGGCAATAAATTCGTGGTAGAATCAACTGACGACGCCTACTAATTTGACAGAAACCCCGCTATCCCATATTAGGGGACTTCCTCAGTATGAATTAGGGGGAACCTGGGAGACACGAGTCTTGGACGGAAATCTCGCGGGAGTCCCCGCGCAATTTTCACCGACGAGAGGTGCCGTTACTCCGCCGAAAGGCATTTCTTGAAGCGGAGTAAAGTATCTCGGGTATACACCAGTTAAAGGTCGCGGGACAGAATAAAAGAGGACGCACGCACGTGTACGCAAACGCAAGGAAGAGTGAATCCGTTCAGTTCCGCCCAAGTGTTGCATTCACAATTAACGCGCGCTAATTAAGAGAACCGATACACGCGCACAATGTTGCGCGCAATTTCAGTTATATTCGCGGGCCCGTGGCGACGCTCTAACAACGGCTTCGCGTTCCTTCCTCCTCTTTTTTTTTCGGCGTATCCCGAATTGCCAAAAAGGAAGTTCACATGGGTAACCAGCACGTTGCTAGGTCGAATAAGTGCCTAATTATAACTATCTTACATCTACCGCATCGTGTTATTACCCCACGAAACGTACACACGGCGATACGTTTCCACCGGTGTCCGATGCACGCGGACGTGCTTAACAAACGTTACCTGGTCAAATTTGCAAGGATGCGCATAATAATCATCCATTAGCCCCAGTCGTTTGCGTCCGGAAAGGCGGGTTCTCACGCACTGTCATCCCACCGGCATAATCTCCTAGAGACTAAACCTGGAATCAATTGTGTGATCGGACCTCGGAACGATCATCGTACCGCGATTATTATATCGCGCCCGTCAAGCCGCGTACGTGTGCGTGTGCGCGCGCGCGCGCGCGCGGGTGTGCGTGTACTTGCGCACGTGTGCGCCGCGCGGGCGCGATATCGATACGGTAAAAGCGATCGGTTTTCCCGCGGTTCAAATTGGTGTATATGTCGTCTTCTTTTTGTACAAATGGAAATTACATTTTAATTAAATGTCTTTAATGAGAGAGACGAATTTAGTATTCCGGGTTTTAATTATTTCGCGCTGAATCGCGTGCGCGCATAGGACGGAAAACAGCAAAAATATTCTCTGTTGTAATTGCGTAATCTACCGCGTTATACATTAGTGTAGGTGTGTGCGTATAAAATTTTCCATAATTAATTTTCTATAATGGTAAACGTTGCGAGTGTGCATTATTTGACGATCAATGATTCACGTAAAGGTATAATATCTCCTCAAACGTAAATTATTAAAATCATTGTGATTCTAAGCCTCGCGTGTTATTTGGAATGTGTTATACACTGTAAGAAAAAGTGTGTGAAATCACATACATAATAGGCGTGGCGATTACACTATTAATAACGGAAATATATAAATGTATGTCTTTTTACAAAAAAACATTTTTACTCTTTGTTGCGTAAATACTTGTTTATGCATAATGAAAAATTACAAAAACTTGTAACATCTACACAACCAAAAGCGAGCAGTTTACTTATTATATAAGGTAACAATTTTACTTGCAAGGAGTAAATTTACTGACGTATGTAATACACACCTTTAATAGATGGTCCGAACATTACCCACTATAATAATTATAACTTTACATGTAATTTTTTTTACAGTGTACATTGCGTTTGGCAAACGTTGTGCACAGCCGTAGGCAAAATTGTTAGGCACCCTCCTAATTTCACGCTGCGCTAGATCTAACACCTGGGAAATTGCTTTTTTTTCGTTCGCCGCTTCATGCACAGTAAACAACTGTTAAACAATCAAATTTCTGGCATCAGATTCAGTGCAGTGTATCACTGCAAATCTAACAATAAGTGTCGCAACGACTTGATATACGCTGTTTTACACATTTCTTACCGTTTGGAGAGATTATTTATAAACGGCAAGAAGTGTGCAATTGACGTGCATCATGTGTCGCGATTTTAAACGGAAAGGAGCGTGCTTCGAGTTGCACATATAGAGGAGAGTCCCCTATCATGAGACAGGCTCCTAATACGAGACAGCGGAGTTTCCGCTAAATTAATAGGCCTCGTCGGTTGGTTCCATCATGAATTTATTGCCCTTGTAGTGAAATCTGTTTAATGGAAAATCTATTGTTAGATCGTCGCGAAAGAAGATTTGCGATTAAATTTCGGTGTTAAAAACTTGCTATCTTATATTAGAAATCTGTCCCATAATAGAGGTCTTTCCTCTATGCGATAAAAATAATACACTTAGGTTTCACCGAACGTCGCTTGACTTTAATCTTACAATTAGTTTAGTTCACGTTTGTCTCCTTCTAGAGTAACAGTTGGAAAGAGACGAAGAACGAATGAAACTGAGTTTAAAGTTAAGCGACGTTGGCGGACCCGGGCCTTAGACTCGCAGTGCAATGATTAGGAGGGTGCCTGATAATTTGGTCTACGGCTGTACGTCATATCGGAAAGCGTTTTAGATTCTTTTCGTCGCGTGGCACTGACCGCATCGCGTCTGTTGTTATATTACATCACGCTTTGCGAAATGCTTCCCCGAAAGCGTAACGATAACAAAAGTGGCATCGCGCAATAATTGGCACACTTGGACGCGAAGCCTCGCTCCTACGTTACGATCTCGCGTGATTGGGGCGGCCGAGTGACACGGAAGAGAAGTCAACGCCGGTACCCGTCGTATCTTACAGTTACCGTCGCCAGGATTATTCTGCGGGGAGAGAAACGGAGTATCTCCGCTTCGAAACGTTTATCACTTGAAACGCGAGGCACGAGGCGACGCCGATTACCGTAATCCTAAGACACCGAAACGTCGCAGAAGTTACATTACGTTCACATATTACGGCAGGTAAATGCGATGCGTAATCCTCAGACATTTCGCGCGAGCCTTCTTATGGCGGCGTTGCATCACGGACTTCGTTAGAATGCGATATGATAGCGATACGCTCTTCTCACAATTTAACGATAAGCTCATCTCGAATAAATTTGTTTACGTTCGCGATATTATTTCACAATGTTCTAGTAGACATACACAAAATGGGGGTCTTCTTGGTAACGAAACCCGCTTATCTCGTCTATCAAGCGGACTTGACTTCCGAGAAGGCTTTTCACGCGCGCGTCTACTAGAACGTTACGAAATGATATCGCAATCGTAAATAGCGCGAATCCACGACGTCGTCCGATTCGGCTCCTGGCTCGAAAATAAAACGGAGAGGGATTTTTTTTTCGTCTTCTACATTTGACTTCATTGAGTGAGACGTGTCTAATAATATCGCAAATATGTTGATCGCGCAGGGATTAACTGCCGCAACGATTAAATTTGCACACCTAAATCCGTTAATGTGTGCCATTTGCGGAACGGTATCGTGAAAATTGCACACGCGTTTAAAAACCGTCCTCTATGAGCCTGCCTCAGGAATTTCATAATGCGCTTTGAGTCACTCGATCGGGGTTGCGAAAAGGAATTCAATTCGTGCGATGCGATTTAGATCGATTTTTTCACTCTCCTGCTTATTACACTCTACTCGCACAATTTTTCATTAAATAGCGAAATTATTCATCAATTAAAGGGAGCGGCGAGTTCCACGTTGAGCCATGTTGATGTTCGACATGTTGATCGCGTTGCCCAACGCAGTCTAATTTCGATTAGATAAACAGAAAGATAACAGAATGTGCAATGCGAGGGTTCTTGCGAAATGATGTATCGAGCGATGAATAGGGTTAGCGACGCGGCATGTCGTAATTTCGCATCGGGCGACTGTACATATTGCGCAAAAAAAAAAAGGTATGCCATACAAGCAAAAAATTTTGAGACCAGTTACACGTTGCGTGATTAATGCGCTGAACGCGGAATTCCAAAAGGACGCCATTGAAATGTCCTAAAATTATATCGGGAAGAGAGCCGAGTGTCTTTCCTGTTTCTGTAAATTAGGACAGCGTTGATGTGATAAAGGGGGGGAAAAGATGTATTCCAAAGATTATTGTCGTGCGGTACCTGTAATTTAAAAGAAATCGTGCGGAATAGTAGTAGTCAGATGTCGAAACGGCAGAGTGACACACGGAGCAACGATTGCGGTTCACGCGATCGTCATTTAAAAAACGGACGAAGAGCCGCGTGAGATCGCGAGGTGTATTCGCGAGAACATTCCTCAAGTGTATATTCGCGGTGCGCCGTTTACAGCGGCTGAGGCCCGGCTTCACCAACGTTGTTTAACTTTGAGCTTAGCTCAATTCGTTCCTCGCCTCTTTTCAGCTGTTACTTTGGAGAGAGACAAACGTGAATTAAACTAAGATTAAAGCCAAACGACGTTTGGTGAAACCGGGCCTAAAAAGTTCTTTGTCTCGGAAAATAATCGGCGGTGGGAAGGAACGAGGGTCCGGCCGAACGCAAAAATGCACTAGCCGAATGCGACGGATAGACGTGCCGTATATTGGGACGAATGGACGTGCAGAGACGGGTGGATAGAGGACCAAACGAGAAATAGAGTAGCGTGGCGTCGCGGAAGGGAGAGGAGGAACAGCGGTCGGGAGGGCCAAGAGGGGGAGGAGGAGGGCGCGGACGGGGTAAAGGCGAACGTACCCTTAGGAAGCGAGAGATGCAGCAACTGTGAGAACAGGAGGGGGACCGAGAGGGGGGCGGACGAGCGCCGAAGCGGCACAGAAGGTGAATGTCCAAGGGGCCAACCTGTTCGAGGTTCATGGCCCCCGATCGACTAGCAAACTCTCTTGCAGGAAGCCATCCTGCCCAATCTGCTAGCGAGCCTCGTGCAAAGGACCGCCGCACCTTGCGCCGGAATTTTCGAATAATATCGCGGACGCGCGCGGGATATCGCGCATCTTCTCACCGCGCGTTTAACGCTGGCGTTAAGCTGCCGCGTTCGATCGGCTCCGATCGCTCGCGAGTGTCGGATAAACGTTAGATAAATTAACGATTTCAGTCCCCTCGTGCGTTACATCCGAGATTTTGCATTTTAAAGCGCCGCACGAGCGTTACGTAACAAATAACGAGCGATTTGAGAGATTTTAACAATTGTAGGACGCACGGGAAATAAAACAGCTTGATATTATAATACCGAGTAAACTGATGAAATCTTAACCGAATGTTTTAATCGCCGCGAACGGCGCACCGCGAGTATACTTGAGAAATATTCTTGCACGGAGAAAAATGTCCGATTAAATTGTATATCCGATGAAAAATACGATCGGGTTTTCGATCAAATTTCACCGGACGGGTCCATAATCTAATCGGAAAACGTAATCGGAAAAGTGAACCACCGGAAACACTATTTCATTAGTTCATCTGATGGAAATTTTGTCTCAGTGTGCGACTACACGTCACGATTATCCATTTAACTCCGAAGGGCACGTCGAGGAATCGGCAAATTTGGTCACGATTTCGCGCGGCTCCTCGTCAATTTTTTAATACAATTTAATACAATCAAATCATTTAAATCGTGAACCGCAATCGTTGCCGCGTATGTCACTCTGTTGTTTCGACACCCGACTACTACTACTCTGCACGATTTCTTTATTTTACAATTTCGTCACGTATATCCCTTTCGGCATATCGGAATGAAACGAGGAAAGTGTATACGAGATACCAAGATGAAGCGAGTGTGTCTATAACATTACGATACGTCACACGTTTATACAATGACTGTTTAGCATCGTTGTCGCAACAATTTGGACGGTTAAGGAGCATAGCTTCTG